CTCATGCTCGAATACATGGGCTACACCGAACCCGCTCTCAAGATCTACACCGCCGTCGACGCCGTCATCCGCGAGGGCAGGTATCTCACTCCTGACCTTGGAGGCTCGGCTACCACTACTCAGTGCGAAGAGGCTATTCTCAAGAAGATCAACGATGCCTAAACGGGGCCTTGTGTGAGAGCTGTCTTTATAGATCCAGTCATAAATAGTAAAAAAGAGGTAGAGATCTCGGTTTGCAGTGCTTTCAAGTGTGTGGATGAGTGCGGTGTGGCCGCAAACCCGAGCACTCACTGGCGCTCTGAGCAAAGGGAAACCGGCGTGTTCGGACCCGAAACTGCCTCGACAACCCAACATCAGCTCGCTAGTGTAGTGTGTGTACATTCCTTACCAAGAGCGGGACTAAATACATGTTATAAGAGGCTAAGGTCAGAGGAAAGAACCTAGGTCCGTCCGGGGAGGTATGAGCAGCCCGTTTCCTTCCAAGTTTCCTCTACCCTTTTCCTCGAGGCATACTCTGAGATTACTTGAGCCATTGGGTAATTCTGCGCAGCTTTGGATCCAATGTTTTCTTTTTCCGTGTTGCATGAGCGCTTCAACCAAGCCCATCTAGACGTACTCGCCTGGCTTGCTATTTATTGCAAAACCATCGCCTTCTACCTCGAGCATCTCAAACAAAAGGCCCGCGATTGCTTCGGCACCCCTCGCCGATGCGATTCCGATCCACGCCTATGCTGGCAGACTATTGTCTATCAACTTGCCGCGGCTATTCACTCGCCCTCTTCCGGATTCCTTCCCCACAAGCTCTTCGAACAGCCTCAAACGTGTCCTCGCATCCGTCTTGTACAAGATCTTTCGGATCCGCTTAGCAGCACCGACACCACTACCACCACCACCTCCACTCCCACAGAGCAACCAACAAAACAAAGCAAGGCCAAGCTGTACGCACCTATGCAAACTCCACCGCAGCTCTTCGGCACTCGCAGGCTACGCAGTGTCATGCTCGAATACATTTGCAAGTCCGCCACCGAACTGGACCAAGACATGCGCAGACGGCTCGCAGGGCGTCTCAAAGAGCCCGAACTGCTCGTCACGGCGATAAAAGAATATCTCAAGCCGCACACTTCCGAGCTCGCGGTCGTCGACCGTATTTAAGTTAAGCTCTGCCAGGGAACGCCGGTCCGTCGATACGCGGCGCTGCGCAAATTGACTCGTCACTGACCTGCAATTCCCGCACGCACTCTGTAGTGTCAAGCTTTTGATGGTGTTCCTGCAGCCGCTTGTGAAGTTGAACCATAGTAAGCGCAAAAGTAAGACAGAAGCAGATGTTTCCTTCTCGCAGAAGAAAGATTCTGCGCACCAAGCCGCTCCGCTCTGCTGGCATGCAATGTCCGACTATGCCGCAAGCTTTCCGTGCTATAAAGTACGACCAAGCCACCGATGCATCTTCCCGTCCTTCCGCAAACTCCTCTTGCAGCATCCACTTACTTGCTTGCAATATCATATCAGATGGCCCGGCGTGGCTTGCAAGATCAACAGCCCAGAGAGGCTTCTAGCGATGCCTCTCTCTGGGAAGAACTCGATGATCCCATCAATGCCTTTGATGGCATCTCGACGCCGCCACTGCCCTCGTCACCAACTCAAGTGGTCAAGATTCTTGGGGTGACGCACAAATCGGGCAGCAAAATAGGACGCTCCAGTCTCCTGGATCAGACTGATGCTATCAAGTGTCAAGTGTCAAGTGGATCGAGTGTTCAGGCAGATGGTAAAACAACAGATGCTTGTCAGCCACTGCGGCCGAGCAAAAGCGCCAAGACAAATGGAAAAGCGAGAGCGACAGCAGAGGAGATCGACAATGTGGTTGCTGAGGACATGTTCAACACGTTGTGCTCGCCTCCATCATCACCACCACCAGGACCTCGAATCAAGTCAATATCGGACATGCCAGCAGAAGAGCAGCAATTCTTCTATCGTCTTGCGTTCGGAGGAGGCTCCTCTTCTTCCAGTTCTCCTGGCAACATGGGCGTGACATCACGAGGAAAGAATGACAAGACATGGCAGACAACATGGGATAACTCAAATCAACCAAGTACAAGCACTGTCAGCTTGGCTGCGACTAGCAGGCCAAACTTGGCTTCCGGCAGTAGTTCCAGCCGCGGTGTAGCAAAGGGATCACCATCAAGTACCAGCAGCGGTGCAATTCGAGGTCGGGAGCCGTCCGCATCCACAGTAGAAGCTCGCACAGTCGACGAGGCATTGCACCGTGCATCTGTTTGCCTCCGTACAGTGCGATCAGCTGCCACAGCATCTGCATCCTGGTTGAAAACCGTTCACAATGAGCGCACAAGTCTGGACCCAAGCCTGCGCTAGAACTTCGAACCTGGCAATTGACTAGCAAAAGAGAGTAGAATTGACACAAGTCAGAATGATGACGACAAAAGAGAATGCATTTCAACGATTCTGCCTTCCTTGGAAGGAGATAATTCTATTTACATGTGTGCATGCGACACAGGCTTACTTGCGAATAGCGTAAGCAGTCTCACGATCGGAACCGGCCTGGTTCCTCTCAGCGAGACCCAAACCGTATCGGCGGAGACGGATAGCCTGTACTGTGATGAAACCTGAGGTAGCAGCCGAGTCGAAACCACCCTGCTCGTCCATCGATGTGAACTTCTCATCGTAGAGCAACTCCTCGGAGCTTCGGCCCTCAATGATGACGTTACCCTTGTAAAGAGCGATCTTGACCTGACCGTTGACCGTCTTTTGCGACTGAGGAATGCACGAGCGAACAAACTCGCATTCGGGGGAGAAGAAGAAACCGTAGTAGAGCTGTTCGGAGAACTTGGTGGTGATAACCTGGTCACGAATTCGTCGGACTTCACGGTCAAGAGTGAGACCCTCAAGATCCAAGTGGGCAGCACGGAGGATGGTGGCACCGGGAGACTCGTAGCATCCACGAGACTTGACACCGATGAAACGGTTTTCGACAATGTCGATACGGCCGATACCGTTGGCACGAGCAAGAGCGTTCAGGGTCAAGAAAACATCGACGGGGTCGGTGTGCTCCTTGCCGGTCGAGAGAACCTTGACCTTGGATGGAAGACCCTGCTTGAACTCGATGACGATGCGCTCGGGGGTGTCGGGGGCAGATTCAGGGCTCTTGGTCAACTTCCACATGTCAGCGGGAGGAGTGGTGTTGGGGTCTTCAAGGATACCGGCCTCGTAGGAGATGTGGAAGAGGTTCTCATCAGTCGACCAGGGCTTAGCCTTGGTCTGAGTAACAGGAATACCCTTGGACTCGGCGTATTCGAGCAATGCGGATCGACCGGCGAAGCGGTTAAAGAATTCGGGGATACGCCATGGGGCGATGACCTTGATGTCGGGCTTGAGACCGTAGAAAGCGAGCTCGAAACGGACCTGATCGTTACCCTTACCGGTGCAGCCGTGCGAGACGTACTGGCAGCCGGTCTTCTCGGCGGCCTCGATCATGCCACGAGCAATGACGGGACGAGCGAGCGAGGTACCGAGAAGGTAGACATCCTCATAGATGGCGTTGGCCTGAACGGCAGGGAAGATGAGCTCCTCGATGAACTCGCGCTTGAGGTCGGCAAGGATGAAGTCCTTGGCACCGCACTTGAGCGCTTTGGAGCGAGCAGCCTCAAAGTCCTCCTCCTGACCGACATCAGCCATGAAAGCGATGACGTCGTATCCCTCATCGATGAGCCATGCAAGGATAGTGGAGGTGTCTGTTGACAGGCGAAGCAACCGTTTCGAAGGTGACGAGCAGGATCAATGACGATAGCGACGACGACGATGATGACGAGCGAGCATCAGTTGCCAGTAAGTGTCGAGCAAGGTGATCGGTGCGCCGAGCGAGCGAACGAGCGTTTAGAAGGGTTGCGGAACGCAGAGGCGAGATGAGGAAAAATTATTCCGAAATGAGATTGGAAAAAGAATTCGAGTCATCCCGATTGGCCCAGACAGAGCGAGAGAAATTGCAAAGGTCAAAGCGCACAACACCATATTTGGCGGACAACAGATATTAAACAGGATATACGAAAACGAAGAAAAGGAGGTATCTGTCAGTGATGGCGTCCACGACATTAGATTGCGGCGTTGCGCAGGGGCCAGAACCGGTGAACACCTGTCAAAGAAGGCTTGAACCCCGCAAGGATTGACAACTGATGAGCGCTCCCGGAGTGGTTCCCGGACTACTTACCGAGTCCACCAGAGTAAGCCAAAAGCACTTTTCCGGTCTGTCCTGGCATGATTTAAGGCGATTTTGGGTGTGTTGAAGAGAGCGTGTTTTCGTGTGTGATGCTTGCAGAAGAGAGTGTGAGATGTGATTGTCACTGGAGTCCGATTATATGGTGTCGGTATAGATATCCGTTGTTGGTGGTAGTGGTGGAAGAAGAGAGTGCAAAAGAGGGTTGCTCGCCTGATAAGGCTCTGTCCCCTTCGCACAAGCCAAGAAGAAACGCGTTCCCGTTCAATTACCCAGGCTGTGAAACGACTTGACTGAGGCAGCTTGCTGCATGCACCTCTGACTCGTTTGGACCTTTTCTCGCTTCTCGTTGGTTCCAAAAAAAGAAAAAAGAAAAAAAAACTTTGGGAAGGAAGAAATTCCAGCTAGCTGGTCCGTCTTTCAGGACACCGTCTCCGTCTGCATGCCTCTTGAAGATCATTGTTCCGCCTGTTCGGTACCATGGTGGATGCAGTCAGCATGGCGAAGCAAGCATTGAAGCTGCAGCACCACAAGACCCTTCTGCCACTCATGTGTATCTGATAGCAAAGGTAACTGAGAGGATCCTTCCCAAATTGGGAGGCAGCTCCCTCTTGGAGAAAGCGAGCGCGACAAGATGGACGCTGCAAAAATCGCATCGCCCTTCTTTCTGATCATAGACTCCCACTCGCCGCATGAGGGGAAGCGAAAGAGTCCAGTTTTAAGCCTTGCTGCGCATGATCATAATCGGGCCAAAAAAGAGCCAAAAAAGAGCCAAAAATGATTTCAGCCGGGTTCGAACCGGCGACCTCCTCCGTAATCCCTAACGATCCGGAAACGGAAGTGTTAAGGAGACGCGCTAACCAACTGCGCCATGAAACCATCTTATCAGGTTAACAAAATGTTGCCATTATATTTAATTGACGTTCTACTAAGATTCAACAATTGATAGTTTTTGCTCACGTCCGCTAATAAACAAAGGTCCTAGCCAAGATTCTCACATGTTTGTTCGAGTCAGTACGCAGAATGGGAGAATAATCGGAAAGTTCACTTGCAATTAGCAACATTAATGAGTATGGTTCACAGATTGGCACGTTGGCCAGAGATTCACTTTTGCGAAAGCTCCACTACCCCGGGTAAAGCCTTTCCTTCCAATAGCTCCAGCGAAGCACCACCTCCGGTCGAGCAGTGCGAGATTCCGTCCTCGGCACCGTACTTGGCAACAACGGTAGCAGTGTCACCACCTCCGACGATGACGGTCGAGCCGTTCTTCTCGGCCTCGAGACAGGCGTCGAGCATGGCCTTGGAACCACCGGCAAAGTTGTCGAACTCAAACACACCGGCAGGGCCGTTCCAGAGGATGGTTTTGGCCTTGAGGATGGTCTCACGGAACTTCTTGCGCGACTCCTCACCGGCGTCGAGACCCATCCACTCGTCAGGGATACCCTCAGCGTCGGTGGCCGAGCCGGTCTTGGCGTTCTTGTCGAACTTGTCGGCAGTGATGTAGTCAACGGGGAAAACGAGCTCGACGTTGTTCTTCTTGGCCTTCTCGACGAGCTCGGCGACCTTGTGCGAGCCAGCCTCGTCGAAGAGCGAAGTGCCGATCTTGACGTTGTTGAGCGTCTTCTTGAAGGTGAAAGCCATGCCACCGCAGATGATGAGCGAGTTGACCTTGTCAAGCATGTTGTCGATCAGCTGGATCTTGTCCGAGACCTTGGCACCACCGAGGATGGCAAGGAAGGGACGCTCGGGGCTCTCGAGAGCCTTGGCGAAGAACTCGAGCTCCTTCTTCATGAGGAAACCGGCAGCACGCTGGGGAAGCTGAACACCGACCATGGAAGAGTGGGCACGGTGGGCAGTACCGAAGGCATCGTTGATGTAGACGTCACCGAGCTTGGTGAGGCTGGCACGGAACTCCTCGACCTTCTTGGGGTCAGCCTTGACCTTCTCACCGGCCTCGTTGGTGCCCTTGCCCTCCTCCTCGACGTGGTATCGGAGATTCTCGAGGAGGAAGATCTTGCCATCAGTGGCGCTGGAGACAGCCTTCTCGGTCTCGGGACCGACGCAGTCAGGGAGGAACTCGACATCCTTGGAAAGGAGCTTGGAAACTTCGGCACCAACAGGCTTGAGCGAGTACTTGGGGACAGCCTTGCCGTCAGGGCGGCCCAAGTGGGACATGAGAATGACGGCCTTGGCCTGTTGCTCGATAGCATACTTGATGGTGGGAAGGGCAGCAACGATACGCTGGTTGTTGGTGATCTTGTCGCCGTCCATGGGGACGTTGAAGTCGACACGGATCAGGACCTTCTTGCCCTTGAGTTCAACATCAGTAATACCAAGCTTGCTAGAGAGAGACATGTTGAAGTGATACGTTTGCGGAGAGGAGTTATGGATTGTGGTAGTGTGGAAAGGAAGTGCAGGTGGAAGATGCGCACAGCTGGTTACTGATGGCAGAGATCGGACGCTCTGGCTCTAGCGTAGAATCGTGAAAAAGGGCTGTCTCACAAAGTGGAGCATCGAAGAGCAACACACAGACGATGCGCTCACTGCGACCGTGCGCGGAACGATCCCCGATTTCAGAGCGTTTCTTCCTTCTTCCTTGCTGCAGAGCCTTTATCGATCGCGTGTCAGTCTGCAAAATGTTGGGTTGAGAAGTCGATCTTGCTGCGGGCTAACCCGATGGTGTACATGATCGGGCCTGTTGTCCGGAAGTCGGCTAAGAATTTGCAATGACAACCTGCAGGTTTTTTTTTTTGACAAACATGACGCTGTTGAACAAGAAGAAGAAGACTTGGCTTCCAGAGCTCGACTTTCCAGACCTTTAGCTTCCGCATCCATCCTCAAACAAGAAGCCTCGTATTCATCGAGGCTACTTCCACGATGTCAGATCCTTCACAGCAGCCTTCCGGCTCGTCCTCGGGGAAAGCCAATGACGGTGCACCTTCCACTCGAAGCACAAATCATACAGCGCCCGTGGCTGCCCGATCTTTTCGAGGCATGGCTTCTCTCCGGGGGGCAGGGTCATTGCGAGAAGGACCAGGTCGTGGAGCATCAGTGTCGTCCAGTGCATCCATGGTACCATCACGGTCTTCGTACGCATCGCCTGCGCCGGGCGTACCAGGATCAGCGGGTCCAGGCTCAGGAGTTCGCATGCAGTTCCGTCCAGTCAGGCCACAACGACGCAAAGCATCCGAATCGCCAGCACCACAGTCATCGACCGCAGCAGAGTCATCATCAGCTTCGCCACTTTCGACACCACACGGAGCGGGCTCAGCGCCAGGAGGTAGAGGCAGAGGTCGAGGTCGTGGCGGCACACGTCCACCACGCCAAGCAGTACAGATGACGGCGTCAGGACCCTTCGCCTTGGGTCCTTCGTTACGGCCGACCGGAAAGAAAGTAGCTCCCGTTGGACCAGGTGGTTCAAGTTTCACACCTGTAGGCAGTGCAGACTCCAGCCGAGGCAACACTCCCGCCAAGACCGATCCAGACAGGGCCTCGTATCGCAACCCAGACAAGCTCAAAGATGCGGAACAGTATTCAGATCCTGAAGATGGAGGCGTGGAGATTGTCGACATGGATGAAGTGCACGGTCTTGACGAGCTTGCACCTCGAGCATTGCCAAGAGTTGTCGAGAAGGAGAGCAAGAAGGATAAGCAAAAAGTTGCAAACGCACGTCAAAAGAAGATGGAAGGAAGGATCTTAAAGGACGAAAGAGACGCCAACCCAACTGCAGGCGTACGCGTCAAGTCAGAAGACGACGCTTTGGGAGAGCTTGACCCTAGCGTGACTACGGGTTTGAACGGATCTGGAACACCTACAGTCATCTCGAGCGAATCAGCTACACCACAACCAGAAGAAGACTCGAAAGTCAACGCGGCTGATGCGCTCGATCTCAGCGAAAGCGAAGGCGAAGAGCTTATGGACGACCTCGTGGATGACTTTGTCTTCCATGACGACGACGATGTTAACCCCGAGAACCGACTCTACCTCTTCCAGTTCCCTCAGCTCTTCCCCAAATTCAAGGCATCAAAGACGTCCAGCACCACCACCACCACCGCCGATGCACCATCCACAGCAACCGACGCCGAGAGCACGAGCGCGGCAAGCAAGCGTCGCAGCGTATCATTTGCAGAAGGCACCACCGGTGGTGCAGGCCAAGCACGCCCCTCAATCGCAGTCAAAGATGAAGCTCCGTCCAGCTCTGAAGTCGAAGACGAATCCGATGCGGATTCAGAAGGAGACGACAAGAAGCGCGACACCAAATCTGCAGGCTCCGGCAAGGCAGACGGTCTCGTCGGCAAGCTCGACGTTTACCGAGACGGCCGCGTCTTCTTACGGTTTGGCGAGCTGGTCATGGAAGTTACAGGTGGTTCGCAGAGCACGTTCTTGCAACAAGTCATGCTGTTGGATCCAAACAACCGCACCGCTACAGCGCTGGGAGAACTGCATCGCAAGTTCATCGTCAGCCCAGAAATGGATTGCATGCTGAACGATATTAGTCTGTATGGCGAGGAGAAGCGCTTCGAGGAAGAGCGTAAGAGACAGGAAGAAGAGGCGAAGGCTGAAGCTGAGCGAGTCAAGTATGGTGCATCAGCTGCTGGGTTCGGATTCATTAGTGGCAGGTGATTGCTAAGCGTGTCGGCAGTCCGGATTCTCAGTTCACGCAGACAGCGAGCAATCTTACATCTCAGTCAGAGTTTAGCTTTTCGCCGATCCTGTTCACCTGTGTGCGACTTCGTGTGTTTGAGGAGATCTTTGACCAAATGGACCGACCACACATCTTGGGATTAAGCTTTTGAGGAATGTGCTAAGTCTGCATTAAGTTGAGTGTACACTACTCCGAATCCTCATCCTCATCGGAACTCTCTTGAGACTCCAAGATATACCTGATGACCTCTTCTGCCGCCTTCCTCAACTGCAAGTTCTTCTCACCCCCAACCTCAGCCTCGGTCTGGCGACTCAACGGGCTCTTCCACCAACCCACGATGTTCTCCTCCGAGATGATGTCATCGTTGTAGAACTTCTTCAACAGCGGAATGAAGATCTTGAAGTACTTTGCGTGTGTCGCGCAGAAGTTCTGCACTGTGGCGAGCGCCTCGATCTGGTCATCGACAGCGACGACGGAGATGAGCGGACACCATTTGTCGAGCACCTTGAGCATTTCTTTTGGCTGATCGGGCTCGCATTTGGTGAGGATGAAGCCGATGACCGTCTTGCGGACTTCCTTGAGCGGGACATTCGAGGCCATACGGAGGGTCTTGAGTTCGATGGCTGCATCGTCGACCGTGTGGTCCTCTTCGAAAGCACGTTCTAATGAGGCGGCAGCTTCGGTGCGGAACTCGTCGAGTCGCTTGACAGCTGCTTGCCTCTCGACATTAGTTTCGCCGTCGAGCATCATTGAGGATCCAATCAATGCATCGTCGTCGTCGTCCGACATCGAGTTGTCTGTACCAAGCTCTGAGTCATCGTCGTCATCATCATCGTCCGAATCGCGGCCAACACCGACGGAGGAGACGTCAGAGAGCGAGTCCGAAAGCTGCATATCGTCCATATCAGCACCAAGACGCATCAACCGCAAGTTGTGCGAACGCTCGATCTCGTCCACCTCGTCCTCATCATCATCGGAAGCTTCCGAGTCCATGTCATCCTCGGCTCTCGATGGTTTCTCGCCTAGCGCTGGCCAGAGGAAACCGACACCCTGTGCACCCAGCAGCTTCGAGGAGGCATCCTTGCTGCCAGCAGCTGCAGACTGTGCCGCATCTTCTCCTTCACCATCCTCGCTATCGCTATCAAAGTCGAACTCGGACTTGAATTTCCTGTTGCCTATCCTGCTGAAGGCGGGGAGCTCGACGTTGGGCCCGACCACGCATCCATCGGCGATG